TACCGCGAAGTCGGAGTGAAACGTCAGAGATAATTGAAGCCATACAAAGACAAAAGAATAATAAAGCTGTAGGGCCGGATGGGCTGCCAGCAGAAATATATAAAGAATTCCAGGATGTGCTTGTTCCAACGCCGTTGGAAGTTTATAATGCTGTGCTGAAAGAGGCAAAGACACCATTATCATGGATGGAGGCTAATATTATATTATTACCTTAGATGGACACAGACCAGATGTTTATACAAAATTACAGACCAATCTCACTGTTAAATGCAGATTACAAAATTTTTGCTCTAATAATAGCAGAACGGCTGAAAAAAAAGCAAAGCACAGTACAGTGAAACCTGCTCAGCATTAGGATGGGAGACCAAAAAATCATAAGGCTACAGATTAGGTTGAAAAATATATCTTGCATAAAGACGATAGGAAACTTCAAATTGTTGCCAAACAACTGCTTTAAAGACCTGTCCATGAAGTCCCTGGGAATCCAGATTTTAGACCTTGCATTGGTAGAGAGATTCTTTTCTGCAATGCATTCTATTATAGTACCAGCAATAGCAGTTAGACCTATAAATTGTCCCATACTGCTTTACAGCACTACCTGGGTGATTTACAATGTTTACAATCTGGTTCCTCATTTTATTGATCTCAGAAGGATCAAACTCCAAACTGTGGACAGAGATCGCCTGAAATACTGCATTCTAACTACTGCACCACCAGGACTCCTGAATCAGCCTTGCCCAATTTCACATTCTCTGCTTGTGTTGAACAGGTTTTCATAATCCTCAACCAGTATAGGAAAGCGAGGGGTGTCCAATCCAAAATTTCCATGCTGTAATAATGATGGGAAGGTTGTATGATATTCTTACATCCCTACCTTCTCTTGCCTGATATATTTTCAGATAGCTCAATATCCTCCCATGAATAGCTTCCTTCTGTTCTGCTGTTAAAACATTGTATGGTTTCTCCAAGGCCTTCACCCTAAGATAGAGAAAGCAAACAGAATATGCATATCGATTTAAGAAATCTCTGTACAGTTTCGCACTATGAAAAACTAATAAGCAAATTGCAAAGCTCTTTGATACCTTAATCATAAGAACAACATTTCAGAATAAAAACCAGAGGAAAAGGAAAAAGCAATAGAATAATCTGCCCAGAAAAGGGGTGCTGTCTTTGCAAACAGAGCCTGGGGACAGCAAAGGGGATTCCTGCACTGCAAAAGGGTTGGACTAATCCCTAAAGTACTATATAGCTTCTACGTACATTTTATAAGTTTATGAATCTATGGACTAAAACATTATTTCAAGGACAGATACAGGGGGACATTAATAACTGAAGAGAAAGAGCATAAAATTATCTTTCAATGATGCCCAATTGAGGGGGGTCTTGCCAGAAAGCAATCCTTTCCTAATGCAGATACTCCACAAGAAAAGTCTGCTAATTGGCCATCTGGAACATCTCGCCTAAAGAGAACTGGACCTGGCTAGTCCTTGGACTGGAGTTCACAGACTAATCTAGGAAGGGGAAAAAAAAACACCTTTGCAGGAACAGAAGCACAAACTACTTGCATCCACCTTCTAAGAAAATAACAAGGATGTGTGCATGGAGTTACTGTAATTGGGCTGAATTCTAATGAGACTTTGTTAAATTTTAAACCAATACCAAGCAAGGTCTTGGGCTAGGGGTAGAAAGAAATCTGGAGCAGCTCTAAAACTAAGGACAACCTCTGCTTGGGCTGCATTCCCCCTATGTTGTGGATTCCAGACAAGTCCAATGATAGGCTGACATACCATAACACCTGAAACAATGTGCAATAGCAGTGAAGAGGAAACAGATAAGAACTGCAGGATGGATATCATTCCTCTGACCCCTGTCACAATTGGCTCTTCCTCCACTTCTTTCATTCTCTCCAGACCCCAAACCTACTGTTTGTTCACAACTTAGTATTGTGGCATGGTCTATTCATTGCACAAAGTCCTGCCTTATTTCCTTTCTGTTTTGTTGAACAAGCCACACATGGTTGGGTGTGTAGCTGATTTCAGAAATCACAATAAACCAAACTTCCAGTGGCACCGTAGGCGTTGAAGGATGCTCCTTTGGGAACGCCAGCCCCATGATCGCGTTAAGCTGCTAGAACAGCGTAAATCAGCTGTCTAGTGGCTTGAAAATTCTCCCCTCAGGAAAAGAGGGGGAGGTGAGCAGCCGGGCAAGGGTAGAGCTCCCCTAGACCCCCAGGAGCAATTCAGTAGCCCGACAGAACTCCACTTCCAGGACGCTTCTGCTCTAGCAGAACAAAACACCATGACCTGCAATCAACATTTTAATCTACATTTGAATAAGAAGCAGGCAGAGCAAAGACAGGAGTGATTACAATTGCAAGTACAAACTTTAACTCTGATACAGTATTTCCTCCTTCTGTGAAGATTGAGGGGAACAAAAGGGTAATGAAGATGGCATTTCAAAGTCAAAGGGCATGGTGAAAGTGAAACTTAAAAAGGAAAGTATTTGTTAAGTGCTTGTTAATGTCGTTAAAAGAACCAAGAGCTCAAGATCAAAGAAAATAGTGTTGGTTTACTAATAAACTATAAGATCTAACAAATTGGAGGATTAAGTGGCCTTTTTGGACTCAATAATTTGGCTGCTGGAAAGTGTGGTTTGAATATCTGGAAATGGCTTCAAAACAAACAAAAATAAGTGCTTCTAAGAGTGCTGGAGGTCTCCCAGCGCAAACACTTAAATTGCAGTCTTTATTACCCTCAGCGGATACACAAACAGTGACATTTGAAGCCCTCCAAGGTGCTTTAAAGGCACAACAAGCCTCTGTTTTGCAAGAAAAAATTACAA